AAGGCCATCTATGACAAGCCCAGAGCCAGTATCATTCTCAATGGCGAAAAGCTCAAAGCATTTCCATTAAGATCTGGAACAAGACAAGGATGTCCACTCTCACCACTGCTTTTCAATATAATACTAGGAGTCCCAGCCAGAGCAATAAGACAAGAGAAAGACATACAAGGAATCCAAATAGGAAAAGAAGTTAAACTATCACTATTTACAGATGATATGATAATACACATAGAGAACCCCAAAAACTCCACAGGAAAACTAATTCAACTAATCAATCAGTTTAGTAAAGTGGCAGGATACAAAATCAACACGCAAAAATCAGTAGCCTTCCTATACACAAACAATAAATCTGAAGAAGAAATTAAAAAAATCCCTTTTATTACTGAAATAAAAAAAAATCAAAACTTGGGAGTAAATCTAACAAAAGAGGTAAAGGATCTATACAAAGAAAACTATAAAACACTGTTAAAAGAAATAGAAGAAGACACAAAGAAATGGAAAGACATCCCCTGCTAATGGATTGGAAGAATTAACCTAAAATTGCCATCCTACCAAAAGCAATATACAGATTCAATGCTAGTCCAATAAAAATTTCAATGACATTCTTCAAAGAAATAGAACAATTATTGATGAAACTCATATGGAATCACCAAAAACCCCCAATAGCCAAAGCTCTCCTGAAAAAAAAAAAAAGAAGGGAATGGAGGCATCACACTCCTGGTCTTCAAACTACACTACAAAACCATAATCACCAAAACTGCATGGTACTGGAGCAAGCAGAGACACACAGACCAATGGAATTGAATAGAAAATCCAGAAATAAAGCCACAGATTTAAGGTCAACTAATCTTTGACAAAGGAACAAAGAATATGCACTGGAGCAAAGAAAGTTTGTTCAATAAATGGTGCTGGGAAAACTGGGTCACTACATGCAAAAGAATGAAGCTTGACTATTACCTCACACCCTGCACAAAAACCAACTCAAAATGGATTAAAGAACGAGACATAAGACCTGAAACCATAAAATACATAGAAGTAAATACAGGCAAAACACTACGTGACATGCACATCAAAGACATCTTTACAGACACATCACCCAAAGCAGTGACAGTGAAGGTAACGATCAACAGCTGGGACTACATCAAATTAAAGAGCTTCTGCACAACGAAAGAGACAATAACAAAAACAAAGAGACACCCACCAACTGGGAGAACATTTTTGCACACAACACTAATGATAAAGGACTGATCACAAAAATCCACAAAGAGTTGATGAGGCTCAATATAAACAAACAAACAAAAAAATAATCCAGTCAAAAAATGGGCAGAAGAGCTAAAAAGAAACTTCTCTGAAGAGGAAATACAAATGGCCAACAGGCATATGAAAAATGTTCAACATCACTTGTCATCAGGGAAATGCAAATCTCATTTGCATTTGGTACAAAAACTACCATGAGATACCATCTTACACCAGTGAGAACGGCACATAAAAAAACTAGCAACAACAGCTGTTGGTGAGGTTGTGGAGAAAAAGGAACTTTCCTGCATTGTTGGTGGGAGTGCAAACTGGTCCAACCACTATGGAGAGCTGTGTGGAGATTCCTCAACCTACTAAATATAGAGCTTCCATAAGATCCAGCAATTCCACTCCTAGGCATTTACCCAAATGACACGGAAACATTACTTCCAAAGGGCACCGGCATCCCTATGTTTATAGCAGCACTGTTTACAATAGCTAAGCTATGGAAACAACCCAAATGCCCAAAAATAGATGACTGGATCAAGAAGATGTGGTCCATATACACAATGGAATATTACTCAGCATTCAAAAAAGATAAACACATGCAGTTTGCAGCAATATGGATGGAGCTAGAAGGAATCATCCTCAGCGAAATAAGTCAGAAAGAAAAAGAAAAATACCGGATGGTCTCACTCATAGCAGGAATTTAGAAAACCTAAATAAGGGACCAGGAAAAAGACTAATTAACACAAAGTAAAAATCAACATCAACAAGCATCTATAAACCAGAGACTCACTACAGGGGCGGGGGAGGGGCGGGGAGAGGCAGGACTAGGGTCAAAATAAGGGGGGTGAAATTGTATGGGGAATCTAACCAAAATTAAAATGCATACGTTGTGTAAAAATGAAAAATGATGTAAGAATTCTATAAAATAAAATATTTTTTTTAAAAATGAACAAAATTCTGATACATGCTACAACTGTAGGAACCTTAAAGTCATTACGTTAAGTAAGACACAAATGGACTAACAGAGTATAATTCCATTTCTATTAGGGGTCCAGAGCAGTCAAATTCAGAGAGAGCAGTGGAATGTGGTTGCTAGGGGATGAGGTGAAGAGGAATGGGGAGCTTTGTTTAACAGGGGGAATGAAACATTCTAGACCAGGATGGTGGGGTATTTGTGCAACGATGTCAATGTAGTTAATACCATAACATGCCTGGCTTAAAAAGTATATTTAGTGGTAAATATTATGTAGAATTTACAACAATGAAAAAAATTGCACATGGATCTGACACATTGACAACACACATCAATATGAGAAAGGAATCTGGAAGGCACAGGGAATGCCAGGCAACCTCCTCCACACGTTTACAGCCAGATTATCACTAAAAAACGGTAACAACCAGGGCTTCCTGGTGACCTAGGGGTTAAGTATCAGGGCTATCATGACTAAGGCCTGAGTTTCATCCCCGGCCAGGGAGCTGACCCACATGGCGCAGCAGACCCACCCTGTCTCCCCGCTGCTCCCCTCAGCAGTGGATTGCAGTTAGATCCACCTGCCCTGCTCCCCACTGCACCTCTGGTGAATCCTCTCACACACACCCCTGCACCTCTGGCCTGTACCACAGTTACATGCAAAGAAAAAACAAACCTGAGTGCTCACTGACAGAGCCTTGGATCAAGATGTGGTGGATCCACACTACAGAATACAAGTCGGCCGTGAAACCATGAAAGGTTACCATTTACAGCAACATGGACGGAGTCTGAGGCAATCGTGTGCGGTAAAGCCAGATAGAATGACCGAGAGAAACACTGGAAGCTTCCATAGCAAACAAATCCATAAAGCTAATTACTAATAAAAGCCGCACCTGCTAATAAACAGTGAGGTTGAGCTTCAGAAGGCGGGGGAAGGGCAATGAGGTAAAAGGGATGAGGTGGGGGAAGCGTCTCAGGTAGAGACAGGTGTCACGAATAAAAGGCTGGAACTGCGGTCAATGTCGGGGGGTGCATTACAGACAGTACCCGGGAAGGGTCCCCTGAGAATATTCTTTCACACGAAGGACGGAACCTCAGGTGCGAAAGCCCTGGCGGGGGGGGGGGGGGGCGCATAAGGAGAAGGCTGTCCTCACAGGGGCGTCTGCTCGCCCCAGGCCCGAGCCCCTCCCTGGAGGCGCTGACGGGGTGCAGCCTCCGCCTCCGAGAAGCCCGAGGGGCCCAGGCCGCGGGTTAAGCCTCCTCGGGGGCCTCCGGGGCCGGGGTCGAGGAGCCACCTCCCTGCGGGCGAGGCCGGGGCGGCGGGTCGGGCTGCTCAGACTGGGGGTCGGGCCGGGGCTTCCCTCCTGCCTGCTAGGCCCGGGACGGGGGGGGGGGGTCACCCCAGAAAACCTCAGTCTGCCCCACGGACACCATCACCCACAGTAGCAGCCACGTGGGCGGGGGCAGAGCAGCGCCCAGAGCCCCCAGGCGCGGCCTCGAGCCACGAGGAGCCGGGAGCAAACTCGGGGGACCCACGGCCGTCAGGGGTCCCTCAGGCATGAAACTGACCCCCTAGGTGACTCCGTGCTCAAAACTGAACCCCAAAGAACCCAGTTACCCTCACCAGCACCCCGTCCTCTGACCGGGCCCCTCCCGTCAGCCGCCCAGGGAGACGCGCTCGCCCTCCCGCCCTCCCTCCCTCCCGCCGCCCTGCGGCTCACCTCGTCCTCCCGCGACGCGCCGGGGCCCGCGGGGTCCTGAGGGGCGCGACCTGCAGTGCGACCTCCTCGTGGCCCAGGACGCCAGGGACGCTGGAGGGAGCCGCGCGCAGTCGGGGCGGGCAGGGGGCGTCAGGGGGGCGTCAGGGGGGCGGGCAGCTGGGCATCAGGGGGGCGCGCAGGTGGGCGGGCAGGTGAGCAGCCCAGACACACCTGGGCGCTCGCGTGGCCACGCCCGCCGGGCCGGCATTTCAGGGTTCAGTGACCCGGGGCCAGCGGCCGCGTCTTCCCCAAAATAATGTCCCCAGAGCCGCGGGCGCCCCTGAAAGGCGAGACGCGTCTATCTGGAGTGAAAGACTCGCGCCTGCGCCTCCCTCACGCCCTCCTGGGCACCGCCCCCCCTGCTCCCCCGCCCGCCCAGGCCGCGCCCCGCCCCGCGCCCTCCTGCGCCCCCGGCTCCTTCCCGCGGGCCCGGCCTCCGCGTCTCCCAGCGCCTTGGCCTTGGCGCCGCCTGGTCCCCGGCTTCGCTTCTCGCCGGTCCCCCGCACCCCGCACCCGCCCCCACCCGCGCTCACCACGGGCCGCTCCGCCCTCGTCCTGGCGCCCCGTCCCGCCCCCGCCCGCTCCCCATCCCCGCGCCACGCCTTCCCTGCCCGTCCCCGCCCCGCCCTGCCCCGCCCTGCCCCGCCCGCTCCTCCTCCCCGCGCCACGCCCGTCCCCGCTCGGACGCCGCCATCACACTCTCCGCGGCGCCGCTTCACGGCCTCCCCGCCAGGGGGCGCCTCCGCCGTTTCTCTGCCTTTGTCCCCCCAGGACCTCCAGCGTTCCTCTGCCCCCCAGTCCGGGTCCCCCCTCGAACTGCTGCCCGTCATCAGATGGACATACAGCGATTATTCACCCGTTCCCGAGGGTTTTCATGCAGATGTTTCCAGACACTTGTTGCTATAGAGCAGGTGTTGGTCCGCAGTTTTATACGTAGATTGTATCAGTGTTTCCAGCATTTCCTTAGGTCGTTTCCCAAAAACAGACAATTACTAGAACAGGCAGCAGAAATAGTCTAAGCTCACAGTTCTCTGCAGAAGGGTGGAGCAGGTGTCCTCTCCTCAGGGATGAATTACAGCACATAGTTCACCTCACCCCCGCCAACACTTCATTCCGTCTCTCCATCCGTCTGCTTCAAGATGCTGACGCCACCTTCGCACTAGAACAAAGTGCTACAGGGCATCAACACAAAACATATGAGACTTTAATGGGAAGGAACTTTAATAAAACTAGGAAACAACGCATGTAAGGCAAAGAGTCTACTTTCTAAATGAAGCACCCAAAGTGACCCATCCCCTCGGGGGTAAAAGTCCATCCATATGGGATCGGCCCACAACAAGGCCCCAAAGCCTGCCATAGTCTAAAGCATCTTCCAGTGGGGACCCACAGAAAAGGGTCAGAAACAACCAGTCAAGCCCAGAAGGAAAAGAGCAAAATAAACATCAAGTTAAAAGCTGCCATGGTCACCTCCCCACGGGTCTCACCCACATCTGTGTCACCCCGTCCACGACCAAAAGACAAGTGCAGTTTCTTCACGTGTCTCTAGGCTCCGTGTGCCTCCTCCAGGCTCCTTCTGGCTCCATCCTGCTTCCTTCCTCAGTCTCTTCTGCAGCTTCTCCTCTCCCTGCTCAGCTCTACCCTCCCTTGGGTGGGGCAGGGAACCTCCCCTTTTCCTGGGGACCACCCTGTTACACAAGGACACAAAAAGTTCCATTATGTATAAGCAATAAATACTTTAGACTCTCAAAAAGGAACATTAGCTCAGTATACTAGCAAATGAAAATGAAATTAAACTATCTTAAAGTTTAGGAAGGAAAATAAAAGGGTAAAGAAATAAAAAGAGGTTTTTTTCCCTAATCATGAAATTTTAATACCAAAGGTAATTATCTGTGGATGCACTATATGTATACACACCCCACACACACACACATATAAAACTTTTCCTGTGTCTCCAACAATCAGTTTGTTCCCTATTCCAGTCGCTACTGACACCACTAAGAAAGGTAGTTCTGTATCCTTGTAGCATCCCAAGCAAGTGAGGAAGGAGAAGACACATGGGGCCTAATTTCTGGAGACCCGCTCCTGCTGAATGTCGTGTCAGGAGTCCCTGAAAGGAGAGAATGGCATCGGTGAAAACATGGGGGGCTGAGGGGAAGTGGAGTGAGGTAGACACAGACACTCTCTCTGGTGCAAGTATCTCCTGCTGAGGGTCTCAGAGGGTCTTTATTTATGCAGTCAGGCAAGCGGTGAGATAACATCAACATAAGCATCGAAGCAGAACAAAGACAATCATTACATATTTTCTCATGAACACACAGAGACTCCCTTGGTCTCATACCAAAAGGGCATTTCTTTGGTTGCCTTAAAAAACGTCAGGGACATTTACTTTTCTTAGTCCAGCTCATTTTCTAACATGATCAATTATTTCAGACAGCACAACATTTGGTGACAATCATTCTACTAAACTTTCCTAGTTTTGGAGTGGGCGTGAAAGCCCTAGTCTATATTCTATTACTGAAATCAACCTATCTCCTTAGCACTCGATTAACTTGGCTAATTTATCAATTACTTCAAAGTGGCCTAAAGCAACTCATCAAATCTATGTTAGTTCTATGAAAGTCTAACTCTCCACTATAAATACCTAACCTCCACACGGCCTGCGAACTACTGACACTTTGCATACACCAGGAAATGTACTGCTGCCGCAAACACATACCCCCTGGGTTAGGCTACGGTTTCCAAGCACAGCTGGTTCAGGGCAGCTTGTTCTCCATAATTCTCAGTGCCAAAACATTTCTCCCCTGACTATACCTTTAGCATTTTTTACTTTCTTTAGTAATGATTCGAGCGTAAGAACAATAAACCAGTTATCGCCTAGGTCCGAATTAGGTTTTTACAAGCCAATTTATAACTAACTTACTTCTGCATTAACCAAGAACAGACAGGAGAGCATTAGCAGGCGTTGCCATGGAGACTCCCTAGTTCAGGTCTTCTGGGAAGTGCAGGAACTCCCCTCTTCTTGGGAGTCTCCCCCAATGCCCAGACCTTGTCAAGAGACAGCATGGGTAGCACAGCCTGCCGCACCTAATGAAAGAAAAAACACGTGTTTAGTCAGCATAATCTGGAGACAGCCTGAGAAAACAGCAGGAAGAGCAACTGGCAGGACTAGGAAGTGGAGAAGCGTCAGCAGTGCCCGCCTCAGGGGAGAGGCGTCAGCAGTGCCCACCTGACCTATGGAGAAGATGGAAGAATCAAGGTACACACTCACCTTCCTATCATGGTAAAGAGTTTCTGCATGGTAGGCAAGTACACTTCAAAAAGATTTCATTGAGAGAGTAAATAATGTGATTATCAGATGTGATTCTGACAGGAAAAGGACTAGGCAGCTACAGCTCCAAAGCTGCCTCATGCTTACAGCTCTGTGATTCCCAGGTGTAAGAGGAACACGGCTGAAGGGCTGCTCCTTGGCAACCTAACCTGGTCTGGTGCTCACCAAGCATCAACTCAGACACTCACCTCAGTTTTCTTTGGGGTTCTGAGTTCTACACAGGAAGGCATATAAGACAAGACACCGGCTTCTCAGTGCCCTTTTGTTCATGAGCGCATTGGCTGTAGCAGTTTTGGCGGCCTGGGGTGGAAGCCACAACCTTCCTCATCCCTGATTAGTGATACAAAACCGCAAGGTTTCATTCATAGACATTTAAGGGAACCGTACACGATGGCCACTCGTTTCAACCCTTGATTGTCTCCCTGCAGTCTTAACTAAGGTACCTTCTATATATCCATTGATTATCTGTGGTTCCCATAAGATCACATAAGATTTATTCATTTCAGCAGAAACACCCAGATAGCCTGCTAACAGAAAAGACTGTCTTCCCGGAACATGAGCACAGCATTGGTATGTTAGGGATACTCAGACCTCAGCCGGCTTCGTTCACATAAAAATTCTCGATACAAAAACTATGATCTTTATATTGTAAAGATTCTTCTTTTTTAAAAAAGATTGATTTAGGGGCCTCCCCTGGTGGTGCAGGCAGTTGAGTGCCACGCTGGGAAGCTGTCTGCAGCCACTGCAGTGCCAGTTCAATCCCGGCCAGCCGGTCAGGGTCCCACATGGCGCGGCAGACCTCTCCTGTCTCACTCGCTGCTCCCCTCAGCAGTGTATTTCATCAGTTTGCATGTTCTGTTCCCCACTCTGGCTCTAGTGAATCCTCTCACCCTCCCGCGCATCTGGTCTGTACCCTGGATCTTAAATAAATAAATAAATAAATAAATAAATAAATAAATAAATAAATATTTTTTAAAAAGATTTATTTGGGGCCTCCCCTGGTGGCTCTGCGGTTAAGCGCTGGGCTGTGAGGCTGCCCACAGCCTCTGCAGCGCCGGTTCATTCCCCGGCCGCCGGGGAGGGTACCACGAAAAACAAAGATTTATTTATACAAGAACTGGGGTAGAGTCAGAGGCATGGGAGGGTGAGAGAATTCACCAGGGACAGAGCGGGGAGCAGAACAGGCAGACGGATCAAAGACACTGCTGAGGGGAGCAGCAGGCAAGGCAGGAGAGGTCGGCTTCACCCTGTGGGTTGCTCCCTGGCTGGCCGGGGATCGAACCCACACTGCAGAAGCTGCAGACAGCTTCACAGCGCGGCGCTCAAGCCACTGCGCCACTGGAGAGGCCCCTGTAAAGGTTCTTCTTGTTCTCTTCCAGTTCTTAAGGAAAACAGGCACCTGTCACTGCAAACGTCACAATCTTTCCAATGTACACTAAGGATAAATAAGCACCCTACAAGTTGTTCTATACAATTAATTACCTGCAGTCTCAAGTGAAAGGCTACTTTTGGTGTTGTTACATGTATGACCTTAGCTTATTTTCCACAGTGTGGAAACCATGAAAACTCAACACCAAATATTGGGAACAAACAGTAGAGGAGGTTCACTAAACCCACCAGAACAAAGTGGCCACTGAGGATGTCCAAGCAATAGCACAAACTTTGAGGACCTCCCTGGTAGACTAGGGCTTAAGTCTCAGCACCATCACCACAATGGCCCACAATACAGCCTAAGTTAGACCCCCGGCCAGGAAGCTAATCCACATAGGGCACAGCAGACCTCTCCTGTATTACTCACTGCTCCCCTGAGCAGTGTATTTCACTAGATCCCTCTGCTCTGCTCCCCACTCTGTCTCTGGTAAATCCTCTCATCACCCGACACCACTGACTGCACCCCAGGTCTTCTACACAAAAATAAATAAAATCTCTAAACAAAAAGAAAAACAAACTTTGAATTAGAAATCGGTAGAGTTCTTGTATGCATAAATAAATACAAATGCATAAATAAATAAAGATAAATCTTTAAAAACACCAACGATTCAAAGCAATAAAGCACTGCGATGTTACCATGATCCCAAATGTGGACAGTAATGTCTAGTTTGGGGAGCAAAAGGTTCAGAGTGTGGTGGCAGGGAGCACTGGCTACTTCAATGCAGACACATGCATTTACAGGCTGGGGAAGAAGTCAAGTCATATGTGTTTCCTCTGCAGCTGTTCAATAGCATAATAAAACTAAACTCCCTATTTTCTACTTACAACTGAGATTCAACCAATGATAGCTATAAGTTTTTGACATTTTTAAAGGACCACAATGAATTTTAAAGAGGCTGTGTGTATAGCCCAGTCCCTGGCAGACCGCAGGCACTTAGCTAACCTTTGTTCACTACCTTGAGTGTTCACAGTACTTTCTATCATGGAAAAGAGTATACACCCTCCGGGGCCTCCCTGGTGGCGCATTGGGTTGAAACGCAGACTATGAGGCTCTCTGCAGCCACTGCAGCATGAGTTCGATTCCCCCTGCCTGCCAGGGAGTGGCCCACATGGTGTGGCAAACTCTCCTGGTTAGCCCGCTGCTCCCCTCAGCAGTGTGTTTCAGTCGGTCTGCCTGTTCTGTTCCCCGTTCTGTCTTTGGTGGGTCCTCTCACCCCCCCCAACACATCAGGACTGTGCCCCAGTTCTTGTATGCATAAATGAATAAATCTTAAAAAAATACACACCCTCCCATGCTGACATAGCTGCTGAAAAAATAGTTATGTACAGACATCATCATTAAATTGAAGTCCACTTATCCAGATGTGTATACTTTATTAAAACCCGAAGGATCATTCCCAGAAGTGTCCATCGTGCTTGCTTTGCTTTATCAGATACTGCTTTTCACAGATTGAAGGTGTGTGACAACCTGGACTGGAGCAAGTCCAGCAGCGCTATTTTCCCATAAGTATATGCTCACTTCATGTCTCGGTGATATGTAATTAGGGTATTTTCTCATTAGACAAAATACTATTGCACGCTTAATAGACTACACTATAGAGCTAACATTTTTTATTCACACCAGGAAACCAACAAAAAATTAGTGACTTGATTTATGCAATGTTAGGTTTGTTGTGGTATTCTGGATTTGAACCAACAATATCTTCAAGGTGTGCCTGTGCCACCTTTCATTTGTTGCAGTGTAAGTACACCTATTAAAGCAAAGAAATTTATTTTGCTAAGGCTGCTGTTTGGAGCTGGCCCTATGCCCACTATGGCAAACCTAATAAAGATGGGAGGCGATCACAGCCTGTGCTTGGATGGAGAAACACTTGTCACAGAATGCTTAAGAACATGTATCACGATGGAATAGACCTATTTTCAACTCCAGAGAATTTTTTGTACTTTGCGACAATTTAAAAGTGAAGGTAAGTAAAGGACAGTGCACAGACACCAGCGGGCAGAAAGAGCTGCAAACGCAAAAGGTTTGTGAAAAGAAACACCTGCACAGTCACAGGCAGGCAGGAGAGCTGCCTCGATTACAGGGCATTTTTTTAAAGTAGGACATATACATCTTTACACTCAACTTTACATTCGGTCCATTGTAATGACAAAAATAATCAAGATCATTTCAGAGAATGGATGTGTGCTCTCCAATACTGAAAGATAATTACTGAGAGTGATACGCAAGAATCTAAACTTTAGAACTATGTAAATAACCCTTTTTAAATCTAATCACAAAATGACACAAGTTCACTGATAAACTTGTCAACAGAAAGAACATGAATAACAAAACAATCACCACGAATACCAACATCCTGAGGACACTAGTCACTGCTTCTAGTATGTTTCCCACTTGTATAGATGAGACAAATCTAAACATTAACAATGAAAGGGGGAAGATCTCCCATTAAAAAAAGTTAATAGGGAGGAAAAGCGGCAGGTCCCAGTGAGAACTGGGACAGGGAAGATAAACGGATGACTCCAGCAAACTACCCGAAAAAGAAAGTTGCCATAAAAGAGAACCAGAAGGGAGGAAAGCGCAGAACCCTGCTCCCCTCCCCCACACACAGAGTCGGCACTCTCCGACCAGCAGAGAGGAGGAAAAAAACAAACTAAAATGACCAACAAGAACAAACTACGCAGCAAGCGGGACTGTGAGTGGAAAAGAACTATTGCAGCCACCACACCCTGTGAACGGGAGCTGTGGAGAACCCTGCAGGATTCACCGTGGCGGTGAGCGAATGGCTCCGGGCGCCATTAGAGAAGAACAAAGAGACTCTGGAGACACGCACACAGCCCCGGGCTAGCCAGTAAGCTTGCGGAAAAGCGGAGCACTTGGAGCGCTTGAAAAGCAAACGCGGTTCGGGATCGCGGCTGCCCAGGTCCCCACGCCTGCGACCTAGGCTTGAGGGGAGATGCGCGGAGGCCCTCACTGGGGTGAAAGTCCCTCACTGAGTAAGTAGGAACCAGGCGCCCAGGCACGGGAGCGGGGTGCAAAAGGCGCCATTCCCGCGCCACTGAACTGGGCTACAGCCCACGTCCTGGACCGAAGGGCTTTGGAACTGAGACCCAGGGCACGAAATTCGGGGCGTGGGTTCTCCATGACGGTGGGGCACAAGGCAGACACAGCACCCCAAAGCCGTTGAGGTTTACCCTACCATTCCCGCTCTGTTCCCTGTCCCACGGGGAGGGGGAGGCGAAAAACAGCCCCCCCAAGGACAATAGGAGAGATCTCTGGTGCCACCTAGCGACCAGGAAAAAAAAAGTCACTAACACCCCATAG